CCCCAAAACCCCAAAACCCCAAAACCCCAAAACCCCAAAACCCCAGACCAAGTCCATATATTATATTAATAAAGATGAGCAAGAGTGAAACCCTCTCTGTCAAAAGATATAGGTCCAAGAAGGCCCAGAAGAAGCCTCAAGCCCCGAATGTCTATGAGTTTATGAAGTATATCCAGAAGAAGATCTATGTCCACCCCTTCAAGACAAAAAGAAAACTTAAGAATGTAAGCACGGATCTAGAACGAAGGAAAGATTAGAGATTAAGTTTGAGGATTCACAAGAATGAGTTTTAGATGGCTGGTTAGACACGAAATGATAGCTTTAGAGCGTATAGTTTTAAATTAGGTTCAAAATGAGTATAAATACGCGAGAGGGCTCAAAGATTTATCAAGAGTTGTTATTGGGCTGTTAAAATTTATCCAGCATTTTTATGACTCTATCTAATATTTTTTCAATCAATTTTAACAGAGTTTATTCCCTCTTTTGAATATCGGTATCGATAAGAGCAGATATAACTCTCCTTCTTGTACTAGTTATTCAAAAGATTGGACTGTATTTTTGAAAAATTCGAAATCTCCAAAAGACAATAATTTTATTAACATTGAAAATGAAAAGAATGGAATACTGCTCTCCAAAGTTTATTTTAAAATTAAAACTTCTTACCTTGTGGCATCTACCTCATAAAAATATAGATGATTATTACTCTTCTAGATTAGCTTGTTCAATTATTATTAAATTCTCAAAACCAACATCTGTTTTCAATAGATCAGATATTAAAAAATAATGTACCATTAAATCTCCTTATAAGACCTATCCAAAATTCTGAATTAAAACCCTTTAAGTCTAAATTTGGGTCAGAAATCTTTAAAATCAACCAGTCAGACTGATTTCAACTCTAAATTACTGTTTCATTTGCTTGTTTCACCAATCAACTTTCTCTCTAACTATAGACTTCTATTAACCAAAATAATTTTAATCAATCTGATATATTCATAGTGCATCCTAGATCCCAAGAGGCACAAAAACGGGAAAGTAATCAACGCCTTCCTGAAAATCCTGATCTCTGAGATCGATCCCTCTGGAAATTTCGATATCATGAAGAGTGATTTTATGAACCAGGCCATGATGATCTACACCAACAGAAAGAACGAAATTGACACTTTAGCCAGAACTTTCCATAATTTAAATGGAGTCGATTGGAATGGAAAGAATTATCCAAAAAAATAAGATGAGCCCTAAACCTCTAAAGAAGTTCAGCGGAGGCATGGGCAATATTAACGGGTATTCAAAGATGAACTCGAAAAGCCGAGAGGCTAACTCTAGATTTAAATTTACTTCCATGAGTATTAAGACTAAGGGAATCATCCCTGCAAATATTAGTAATGTTAATAGAAGTATAAATAAGAATCTTCATGCTACGACTAGCCATAATGCTTCTTATACTAACTCTCATAAGTATAAGAACTACAGAAAAGGAAACAGGTTTAAGAAGAATAGAAGCTCTCACAACTATGATTTGGCTAAAAGTCTGCAAAGATCCAAGTTAGGTTCAAGCTACCAAAACAATGAGAGCTCTTATGACCAGAGCATAGATTCATCTAACAACAGGTCAATGAAAAGTCAGAGTATCAACCTCCAGGACCTAAGTAATGATGGATTTGGGAAATCAAGGTCTATTGACCATGACAAAACTAATACCAGAGAATTTTCAACTAGAAACATCAACCAGCAATATAGTAAGGTTATTTACTAACCTTATAGAGCCTTTCAGTCCTGCTAAAGGCCCCTCTGCCTCAGTCAATATGAAGGCAGATAAGATAAGTTCTTTCGGTATCAGTCAGATGCTCCTAGACGACCTCAAATCCAATAAAGATGATGAGAATGAACTTAGCGCAAAGAAAAAAACTATCGAGAAGAACATGCCGAAAAATATCATTACACAGCCCATGACGAAAAGAAAAAGAAAGAAGAGCTCATGCAGCGTTGCAAGTAATGATGTATACAGAAATGAGGACAGCAGACATTTTAGTCACCAGCAAAATAAGCCGATTTATATTGCTAATCTTCTCAGTGGGGGTGATCCTGTTAGCTCAAGATTAGTTGAAGAAGAAAAGGTCTGCACAAGTCTTGAAGAGGCAAAGTCTCCTTCACCTACTAAGCCAGGAGCTGTTGGAGTACCAAAGAAAATTCAGAAATCTCCTAGCGAAACTCATGAAAGAAACATCAACAGTATTTTCTCACATGTACCACACGGGGGTGCTCTTGAAAGACTTAACAATGAGGAGAGACTGAACTTTCTCTCCGAAGCAAACCTCTCTAAAATAGATAGCTCAGCCAACTGAAGACAAGAGAAGAGTGTTGACCTTGATTTTAGATCAGGAGCTATGCTTGACAGAAACTCAGCTGATTTCATCACGAACAGGGTGATTCATAACAATCAGTTATCCAAATACCTCACTAAATTTATTGGTAATAAGGATTACAGGACTACTGAAGAAAGAGAGCTTGATAAATGTACTTTCAAGCCAAAATTTGTCAATAAGAAAAAGTTCAAAAATGTCAAAGGAAAAGTCTCTGGTGCTATCAAAGAGAAGGATCATAAGAGTAGAGAAAGAGATATAGCATTATTCTCTGCTAGTGAGAATATCAGGGGAGCAATTCAATCCTCGCAATCTGTCTCTAGAGGTCTCAGTGCAGATGGAAGATTCAACAACTCATTATCTATGAGTGATGGAGGATTTTTATTTAGAACTGATGACGATGAAACTAGCACTATCAGTGTTCTAAACGAGATGAGATCAGTTCCAACCATTTACTCTAATAAAAATGTAGCTGGTCTTGGAGGAATCCTCCAATTCGGTTATTCTCATAAATTTCATGCAGAGAAGCACTATAAGAACATCATCAAACCTACAGTAAAGAGCATAAATAAAGCTAATACAACATTCTATGGCTCATGTGGAAGAGCACTTAGCCTCAGCATCAATCAGGCAGATGCTTCCAATGTATTCAAGGCAAAGATCTTGACACCCATTAAGTCCAGTAATGGCTTGAAGACCCAGAGACTCTTCACCAATAACCTTGCCTCAAAGGCAAAAGAGGTGGCTCATGCACACGAGAGTCCCAATAAGGGAGAATTAACCAACTTCTCATCTGAAGAACTTGAAAAGATAAAAAAGATCCATGAAATCCATTTTAAGGTCAAAAGAGCATAAATATTGATAAATAGCATAACAGTTGTAATTCCTTCAGTACTCAAAGCACTGTTTGGGGTTTTGGGGTTTTGGGGTTTTGGGGTTTTGGGGTTTTGGGGTTTTGGGG